TTCTGAATCTGGTCTTCTACTTCAGAACTTTTGTTTGAATACCTGGAGTATTTTTCCTCACCCCAGATCTTAGGGTATACTGTTCCTTTCTGGGGAGAATCCAAAAATTGATTATCTGTGGCCACATTTGCATCTTTTCTCAAGTTCTTTCTTTCACTGAATTTTGGGGTGGACAAAATATTCAATGAATTTCTTTTTCCAGTGAAAGACATGGACTCTCAGGAGCACATTAGTTTAGGTTCTCATGTCTGTTTGCATCCATGATGCCAAAAACCTAGAATACAGTGCAGGCAAATTTCTGCTTATTCAGTGTTTTGGTAATGAGTAGATATAGCTTGTTAATAAAGGCTCACTTAATGAAAACCTGTTTAATGAAAGCCAGCACCACCACCTTGGATCATTCTCCAGCCAGAAGAGTGTACTTGAGAAACTGTGTGTCCAGACATTAATTTAGTAAATCTCAATAAATAGCCTCCCAGAGGAGAGATTTCTTCTGTTCAGTCTATACAGGCTGATGAGAGTACAAGCCTCAGCTTTGCAAGCAGCTTTCCTGAAAACCTTCAGGGTGAGAAAGTCAGCCTCCCCTCCCGGGTAGAACGGGTAGAACGTGGCCAGTGCAAGCACTCTCTTTGCTGCCTGCTGTTTCCCATCTTGTCTGGGTTGCAGCTTGTCATTGCAGTGATGGGACACCAAAGTACATCAGCATGGCAGGGCTCCTGTGGCATTCTTATCATACCTCTGTGACACTCTTCCTCCTCAGGACTGCCTACACAGGCTTCAGAAACCAGCATGGGGGAATAATCTGGGCATTTATAATGGGGATGGGGCAATTTCTAGAAATGTTTCCTAAATCAGGACATCTCGGCTCTTCAGTTTAGGAATCTTTGCAATGACCTGCAAAACATCTTAGTGGAAGTACACCAACTTTATTTCTGTTTGTCTCAATTGCCAAAATGCTTTATTTCCAGAGAATTAGTATTTAATTAACAATAAACTCCCAAGTTTCCCAATCCTTCAACCTAAAGGGTCAATTGTACAGGAACAAGTACATAAATGTCCTAGGGGGATCCTTAAGATATGTAGAAGTTCTATACTGAATAATTTTGAAAAGGAAAGACTATTTTGGTGATAATATTTTTTCTGTTTGGCTCTTCCATAATGTGCAGTCTGTGGTGGGGATGCCATTCCCCTGCTGAGCACAAAAGTGGTAAGCCTTGCCAGGTGTGGTGGCACATGCCTGTCATCCCAGCAGCTCTGGAGGCTGAGGCAGGAGGATCATGAGTTCAAAGCCAGCCTGAGCAAAAGTGAGGTGCTAAGCAACTTAGTGAGAACCTGTCTCTAAATAAAATACAAAATAGGGCTGGGGATGTGGTTCAGTGGGAGAGTGCCTCTGAGTGCAATCCCAGGTACCCCCCAGAAAAGAAGGGGTGGTAAACGTGGTGGTTTACATGGGAGTCACAGGTTCACAGGTTGCTAGGTATTTAATATGAAAAGAAGCATAATTAGATGGGTATCTATCATTGGCCTTCATGGTTTGGAGAAGGAAGGAGGAGAGAAATGTAAGTCATTTTGAATTTGGTACCATTTGAATTTGGTACCATTCTATACCCTTTGCTTAAAATTATTTTTTCTTTTCTGAGCTTTGAGCTATTCTCTACCTCTCCTTGCCACTGTCCCTATAGGTATTGCGATTACCCTCAGAAATTGCAGTGCGTTTGCTTCTGTTCAGCCAGTTGGTTTAGATTGGGTTTACAAATTTGAGAGCAGCCTGTTTTACTTACGTTTTTCAGCATCTAAACAATAACATAACCACATGACTGCATCTTTAGTCACATCATTGACCTACACCTGCAGTTTATGCCCCTACAACACTCGAATGCATTAATATCACTGTCTGCAGCATTTTAATTTAATTAGAGCTGTGTTTATAATCCTCCTGGGAAAATCCTTACTCCCTTCTCCCCCACCCCATGTTAAAATAAAGCACCTCTGGTTTTCATCTGACTGACAGTTTGCTTTAGAGGTGAGTGTGCTGTCAACTCTACCTAGCCCCCTCTTTTGTTGGGATCAGACCAGAGAAGCAGTTGTGAGAATAGAGTTCCCTTTCTTTGGGACATTGGCTGTTAGTCTCCCTGAGTTCCTCTGTCTAGCTGTCTCCATCTGAGCAGGTGGTATTTGTATGATTTTTCTAATTGCTGGTAGTGTGCTGATGTGCCATTATAGAAGATAAGTACATGGTTATATTAATCAAATAAAAAATGAGGACCACTAGAGAGTCGCAAAGAGAGACAAAAGGAGTTAACTCTGAAGTATGGGATTCCCAGCTGTGTGTTCTCTTCTCAGAAAAAAGTTTGTGCACTGGGCAACATCCTTCCTGGGGTCCCTGGGGCTCTTTTGTCTGCTGAACCCAGGGTTCCAGTAGGTTGTGTTGGCTGCTGGCAGATTGCTTGAGGTTCTAGAAGCGCATTTTGCTTTCCTCCACATGGTCAAGATAAACTCTCTTCAGTGACTGACAGATCTCTTCCTTGAACCTTTTAAAAAGAGCTTCCTGCTCTCAGCTTGCAGGTTGCAATCCTGACTTTCACCATAGTGGAAGCTATCCTCAGGAATGAGTGGAGTTCAGGGTCACAGTTGTTCAGTCTCTGGCCTGCCTTCTGTAGGTTTCATTATGAAATAGTTCAGTTGTCTCTTACAATTTCTTGGATGGGTATGGGAAAGGATGACATAACATCCAGGCAGGTGCTCAAGTGTGCTATGTCAGTGTAGCTGTGAGGTGAGGGAACCATGTAGAAGTAAAAACTCTTCCTAAGAAACTTCAGGGAAATGAAGGCACAAATATAATGTCGCAAGCCAGCACCTAACACACTGCAGAGGTGAAGCCTCCCTGGATTCCTATCAGTAGGCGGGAGGCAGATTTCCCAAGAAATAAAGTAGAAGTAATTTTGAGGACTGGGCTTCTCCAGCTTGTCCTTGATGGAGTTGAGGAGGCAGGGATGAGCTGGCCTGGTTTTCATAGACAAGCTAGAGGACCTTGTTTCTCCTTGCTTTAAGGGAAAAATAATTGTATTATGAAATACCATCCTCTCTATTTCTTGTACTCATGCCATGCCCTTTGGAGACCCTTTGGTTGCACAGTGTTTTCTTCACCAACTGTTTCGCTTCTGCAAAAACCATAACAAAACAGAAAGCTACTTCTGGGAATAAAGCTAACAGCAAACATCTACATGTATGATGAGATTGGGGGATCATGTGAGGGTGGAGGAGAATGGAGAATTTAGAAAAAAAATTAATCTAGAAAAACAGATTATGTTTGAAATGCTTAAAAGCACATCTCACCTAGCAAAACCCCTAAATAAATTTAATGTTTCCCATACATGTGATTATATATCTTTGCCTCTTAAACTATCCTAACACAAACACCAAAAAGTGTAACTCCTCCTTAAGTTAGAGTTGCTCAAACTATGTGTGATATTTGATAAAGTTCGAGAAAAGTGAAGTTGACAGTTTTGCCTCTGGGTGACCTTTCATAAGACATCTTGATTGACATAAAAATCAAATCTAGGATATTTGGGCCTGCCCTGAATTAACAAATTCACCAGGAAACTTTAAGATGTATGTTTAAACAGAAATATTCCACCCACCCTAGTTTCTGCTAGTGGATGCCTTAGGGAAGGTGTAGCAATTCCATCTGGAAATTGCAACAATATGTATATATTCATTTAAAATTGAAATTTCCTGCCACAACCACCAAACTTTCCAGGCCATGAGCAGAAGAGAAGTTTTAATTTGGTTGTAGGGTCACGGGACTCCCCTGCTTCCCTTTGCACATTTGAAGAGATGTAAAATGTTGAAAGAACTATCCTTCCAAGAAGTAAATACCGTCTTCACTTTACTTTAATCTAGGATTTTCTTTTGCTCCTGGTTTTTAAAATTTTCATAATGGCATCTTACTGGTCTTTTCATCCCAACTTATTTTTGGACTTTGTATGTCCTACTTTGCCCAGTTAAACCGCAGAAGCTAACGGAAGTTATGTTTATGTATGTGACTGCAAGTCAAACTAGTTGGTGTGTAGATCTGAGATGCAAATTGCACTACTGTTCTATCTGAATATACTAGTTGGTTTCTTGCCATTATTTGCAATATTTTAACTTCAAACTAATAATAAAATAATCCTTCACACCCATCCAGTTTCTTTTAATTGATCTAGCAAACACTGCTCATTTGAATTCAAATGGTGAAACTACTGAAGCCCCTCCTACTGTCATTAAGCATCTTCATTTAAATAATGCTTTCCTTAGTCCAAATAATTCTTTGAAGATGTATGAAATATTTTAGAGGGAAAGGAAATACAGATTCTGATGGGAAATGAAGGAACAAAGAGACACCTACTAATTCTGCAGATCATTCTCTCTTAGGAAGGAAGAAATTAAATGTTGGATATTTTTGGTTATGGTTATTGTTTTGTGAGAGAAAGATGATAGAAAAACTTTGCTCATAGATTTATTAACAAAACCTAGGTCTTTTTAGCCATTACTTTCCACTTCGCCTATTTAATATACTCTTACTGGATCTGAGTATAGAATCATACTTTGATTAGAAGCTGGAGTTATCGCCAGAGAAGAGGAAATGTGGTGTTAATGCATTGGTGACATTGATATGTGACTTGGAAAAATAATTTTTGAGAGAGTTGCTTTTAAGCTATTCTCTTGGACTTTTTTCTCCCCATTTGCTCACCTGTGTCCCTCCTCATTACCTGAACAAACCACAGGGGTGCACATCTGTTGACCTCAGTCCAAAGAGCCCAATCAATATTCAACCTTTCCTGCATTTTTTTATAAACCTCAAATGTGAAGCATCTAAAGGACAACTTATGAACCAGGTGTTCCGAATGCCCCACCTCCCTTTTGCTTCCCACACCCCTGGGTAGTTTCACACCTCCATTCCAAACTTTCACTGCCTTTTTAACCCCCTCGCCTCTTCCTGCCCTTATTTTTAACAGCAGGAACGAATTTCATATACACCTCCAGAGAGCCCGGTGCCGAGTTACGCTTCCTCGACTCCACTTCATGTTCCAGTGCCTCGAGCGCTTAGGATGGAGGAAGACTCGATCCGCCTGCCAGCGCACCTGCGTGAGTGTCGGCTGCCAAGGGAAGGGGAAGGACAGACTGACAGCCAGGCTGCTGGACCGCACGGGGCGGGGGAGGCAGAGGGCTCCGAGCCATGGAGGGGCAGACTCTGGGGTCGTTTTCACAGGACTCTGCCTTGTTCGCTTTGGTTGCTTTGGAATCATTTGACCCCACCCCATAATGGCCGTTTAAAGTTTGAGATTCTTGTCGCTTATTTCTCAGTGTATTTATTTCATGTCTGATGATATGTCAAAAAAAAAAAAATCTGGAAATGTGTACTATATGGCAGAGTCAATTCAGTGTCCTAGGAGGCAGATTATTATTGTTATGCCATGTTTATCTGTATTCCTAGATTCACCTACTCCCCTTTAAAGTTTTCTTTGATCTGAATGAGGTTTAGTTTCTGATTCACTCACTTCACTCCCTGCTTTGCTTTTAAGCTGGTGCTCTCTCTTCTTTGTAGACTCCCCCTCCCTTCTTTTCTCATGGCAGGTTACATTTTATATGCTGATATATGTCTTTTCCCTGGTCCCCTCTTTTCTTCTACTCTCTGCTTGGGTTTGCTTTGCCTCAGCAACTTTAGTTTGTAGTAGTTCCACCATCCTCTCCCAAATCATCCCTACTCCTTGCCTCCACCACCTTCCATCTGAATTTTCAGCTGCAACCTTGGCAGACATCGGGTCCAACACACCTGTGCTGCTGATGCCAACCTCCAGAGCATTGACATCTGCCAGTTCTGTTTTTGATCTGTCTTTCCTGTACTGCCACTCAGTCCAGGTGATAAAATGTGATTGGGGCAACTGGAGAAAATGAATCACGTGATTCCCACCCTGATCGTGGTATCCAAGAAAATGCCACATTCTCCGGCTTGGATGATATCCTGAGAGCACAAGTCCAGGTTCTGGAGGTTCCTGGGGACAACTTGACCCTTCCCTAGTTGATTCCCAGTGACATAAATGGTGGTACGGTGATGCTGGCCATCTCTTTCAGGCTATTCTCCTTTTGTTTCCATCCTTCCTCAGAAGGTTGCTTACTAAAAGTACAGAAAAATAAAACAGGAAACAGGGGACCCAGGCTCTCCTTTTCTCTCTCTCTGATAAATCAGAGAATCAGATGACTGATGCTAGGGGTCCTGGGAGACATTGCTGGTTTATCCCTTCTGCCTACAGTGAGGATGGTTGCTGGGATTTTTGCAAGGAACTGGCAACATGAAACTCCTTCCCCTCTTCAGTTTGCTGTGTCTGTTGGTAATTACAAAGTTGCTGCCTACTGTAGTGTAGACATTTCTGGATAGAGAGGTAAAGGACACAGCCCCATTCTACCATCTTTTCCTCTACAATGAACTTTTAAAAAGGAGGTTGGAACTTTAAAGGCCATGGTCATGACTGTGGGCACTGTTGTCCTAGTAGACTGGAGTTTTAGGGCACCGTCGCAGCGGACAGAACTGGGAAAGAAATGGTGGGCAGACAATAGCAGATTTCTCTCCAGATAAGCCCCTATGCCCAGTATATTTACCTCAGGAATATTCACTTCAGGGTAGAACATACTCATGCCATGTAGGCAGAACACTTCTACCACCTAATCTCATTCATTTGTTCATTCCATTTGTAATTACTGATTATCTGCTTCTAGGATCAGGATACAGAAACAAAGACAGGAGACAAAGCTCCCTGTTCTTATGGAGCTTAAATTCTAGTACAGAGAGAAATGAGATAATGAACAATTGTCCCAAACAAGCTGAGGTTTCTTTCATAACTTTGTATTCTTATATTTTGCAACATCCCCCAAGGAGGCCCTAACTCATGGTTCACCTCTGAATGCCTTTGACATATGTAAGCTCTTTTGCTGTGGAACTCTCTCCCTAAAAAGTTATCATGGTAAAACAAAGAAGCAGGCAAGCAAATAGACAAGCCAAACCAGCAGTCAAGAGGTCTTAATTCATAGTGTTCTGCTGTTTGACTGCAGTCAGTCGTTTAACTCAGTTTCCCAATCATGTGGGACCACATTTGGAGTAGAAAATATTTAAGATCCTTACTATATTTAAAATACACAGTTCTCATATAAGCTTTCCTTCTCCTTGGAACCATTTCTTCAATACCAACACTTTGATTTCTTCTAGTGTCAGTTCTTTCATTGAACCACTTCTGTGCCGCTTACCAGTAATTACTTGCTCCTAGTATATGCCTAGGATACAATCATAATAGCTAATAACTGTGGGATTATCCTGTTCCTGGCGCTGTGAAATTCTGTATATATAAATTATTTTATTTCATTCACGCAATGTAAGGTGGGTCTTCTTTTATCTCCATATCACACATAAGGACTTAGAGAATTTAAGTAATTTTTTAAGGTTGATTGCAAAACTCATAAGAGATAAAGATTCAAACTCAATTATGCCTGATTCCAGAGCCTAGGCTTTTATCCATTATGCCACCATATAAGTATGTGTTTAATAAATATTTTTGAAGATGGGTGGATGAATTCAGGGATGATACTTGGCTAGACTTATGACTGATGTGGCCACAACATTGGTTTATGGCTGGAATCCATTCTAACTTGTTCTGTCTGTTGCTGAGTAGTTTGCATATTACCCTTGGATGGACATGTGCCTGGATCCTCACATAGACAATCATCCAGCTGTAGCACATTACTGCTGACTTTGGTGCATAATCAGTAGTTCGATTGTGGATTCAGGTTAGGATAATGGCTTTGCCTGAATGTATACTCTGGCAGTCTAACTTTACATATCTCTCCTTGGTAATCCGCATGAGTCCCTTTGTGATACCATGGCCCCAACATCTGGAACAAATCCTCTGAAAGTAGAGGTTCCCAGGCTCTTGCTGTTTGCCCTCAGCTGGGGCTTTCCGAGCAAGGCCCAGCTTCCTTCGTCCTGTTCAGGACTTGACTGCTTGTCATGCTGTTTGAAAGGCAAATAGAAGGTTAAGACTGGGGCCACACACTTGAAGATGCATCCCAGCTGAGTTTCCAAACCTTAGTGAAAATAAATATTCTAACAGGGGAATTGGGTTATTGCTGTTTTAATCTGGGATTCCAGACAATTCCCAGTGGAATGCTCATGGAAAGTACGGGGAAGAATCTGAAAGCCAAGACAGCAGCAGGACATTTATGGTATTACTGGGTTGAAAGCATTTTTAGCTGCTTGTTTTAAAGAGATACTCACCAGACTGGGATGGCTCCAAGTGGCTTTTTTTCTCCATTTATCACTTGATCTCCAGATAAAGCCTCTCTCTTACCTTTTTTGCTTTCTTTCATTCTTAAATCAAAATCTTATCCTTGGAGAGAGGAGGGCAGAGATCATAAAAGCTAAGATTCTCATACAGAGTTTCTCACCAGTTTGTTCTGCAAACACAAGGCTAAACCTAAACTGAAGACACAGCGTAACAAATTAGCATGCTATTGAGAAGTAGAAAGTGATGCTCTCCCTTTTATTTGCCTGTGATAAAAGCCAAGTGATAAATGGAGCATTGTGTTAAGTGGTGATTGTGAGGGACTGAAGGGATGGTGGGGGCAGTCTGGCCCTAGGGAAGGAGAAGAGTCAAGGGAAGAAGGGCCAGGCCTATCATGCTGGACTGACTCACTGCCCAAATTTTCAGGATGGTGCCCTTCAACAGTCCTGCAGCAGAGCTCCGCTGCTCACTAGGGGAGCAAACACAAGTATGTTTGCTGAGAAAATAGAAAGGACATGACTTTTTTCTTCTTCTTTTATAAACTTTTTTTTTTTTTGGTATGCTTGGAGGTAGAAGGGCTGAAGTACAACAATTATAGCGGGCAGGTGAAAAAATAAGTTCCATCCTTTAAAGGGACCATCAGCCTTCCATCACAGCTTGAGAACACTTGAAAGAGCAAGGACCCCTCAAGGGTGCTCAGTCAAGGTCACTCTTGACCTTGCAAGCTGAGGAGGGCTATGGCCTGGAGAACAGATGCTGTTTCCCCATTCTCACCAGGGGCCTTGCTGTGTGAGGGAGGGACTTTTTAAAATCCATCTGTCCAAAGGCTACCTTCTTCTAAACTTGTGGGGAAGTAGGTGTTAAAGGGAGCAGCAAAAGTCACATCATGAAGTAGTGGCACCTTGCTTAGGGTAAAGATTCTGTGTCAGTCAGACCAAATACCTAACATAAGCAACTTAAAAGAAGTTTGGCTTACAGTTTCGGAAGTTTCAGTCCATGGTTGGTTGGTTCCATAAGTTTCTGGGTCTGGGGTTGAGGCAGCACTTCATGGTAGGCAGTGCATGGTGGAACAAAGCTGCTCACCTCATGGTGGGGACGTGAAAGAGAGGAAGAGAAGGGTTTAGAGTCCCAATAACCCCTTCAAGTGCATCCCCCTCCCCAATGACCTTGATTCCTCCTACTAGGCCCTACTTTCTTGAGGTTCCAGCACGTTCCAATAGCTCCGCAGACTGGCAACCAAGCCTTTGGGAGACTTTTAACATCCATACCATAACATGCTTGCAGTATGTTAACAGGGACTCTGTTTGACACTGGGCCTCCAACAGTGATGCCGATGCCAGGCAATATGATAACAATGTAAATACATTTCAGATATGAAGCAGAATTTAAATAATTAAATATATTTATTTTAAATTTCTTTTAAACATTATCATCCCACATCCAATTGATTTAATCACATCTAATCATAGGAGTATTATGCCATTGGCCCAAAGACTGTATCTTCAGTGTCCGTTTGGCCTTCTAAAATATCTGCAAATTGATGATTAAAAATTGAGACCCAGGACTCATTCATCATATTTAATAGGGTTACAGTTTACGATGTTGCGGGTTAATAAATAGTCGTAATAGCTGCTGGGAGTATTCTAGCATCATAACACCAGAAATAGTCCCCTGGCTCTCCTTCCTTTCCTTGTGAATCTTTCAAAATTCTTAGATTACTACTCCTGCTTGTGTGTGTTTAATAATTTAATTCAGTGCCTTCCTTTGGATATGTTACCTCACTGCTCACTCATCCAGCCGTTTTGCATTCTCAGC